GGTAATGAACAACATAGTATTGTAAGTTGTGTTTAATAAAGCAGAAATGTGTACATACGTATTTGTGTATGTACATTAATAAGCATGTTGTTTGAAGCAACACTCCTTTCTAGAGTTCAACTAGGAATCTATGAGAAGGTTCAACTGAGTCAAGAGGGCATAGGCATATGGGGTTGTGGTGGGCCCTGGAATTCCCCCCCACCCCCAGAAATAGGAAAAGTAAGACTGAGGTTCTCAAACCATAAATTCTAGGTGTATGTAATCTCATTTGGGTTGGGCCTTCATATTGTATACATCAGGTAGTCTTGTCTTTTCTAAAGTATTCATACTTGTGTCTCAAATTGGCACCAATTCTGTGTACAGTTCAGAGTGCAGAACTTTTTGTGGGATCAGGCTGACACTAATCTCCAACTGAGACCACATCATGGCTTGACTAATTTTCCCTGCCCTAAATTGGGTACTTGTCTGTGAGGCCAAAAGAAGAAAGAGGACAAGTGGTTTGAGGAAAAGAAAAAATAAGTTTATTAAGTTGTTGGCCAATGAGGAGGATGGCAGTCTTGTCTTAAAGACCATCTTCCTCAGGAGGCCTATGTAGTGGCTCACACCTATAATCCTAGCACTCTTGGAGGCCAAGGCAAGTCAATTGGTCAGGAGTTAAAGACCTGTCTCTAGAAATAGCCAGGTGTCGTGGCAGGTGCCTCTAGTCCCAGCTACTTGGGAGGCTGAGGCAAGAGGATCACTTGAGCCCAAGAATTTGAGATTGCTGTGAGCTGTGACACTAGAGTACTCTAGCAAGAGCATCAGAGTGAGATGCTGGTCTCAAAAAGACCAGCGTTTTCTCACTTTATTGCCCTCCGTAGGGGCTGGGTTCGAACCCCCTACCCTTCATGTATGTGGCCGGTGCTGTAAGCACTGTGCTAAGGGCACTGAGCCAGAATTTTTTTTTTTTTTTTTGGTAGAGACAGAGTTTCGCTTTATCACCCAAGAGGAAGCATTACAGCTCACAGCAACCTCCAGCTCCTAGCTGAGGTGATTCTCTTGCTTCAGCCTCCTGAGTACCTAGGCCCACAGGTGCCCGGCTGTTGCAGTTTGGCTGGGGCTGGGTTTGAACCCACCACCCTCTGTATATGGAGCCGGCACCCTACCCACTAAGCCAAGGGCACCGACCCAAATACACAGCTTTTAAAGGGGGTTTTCAGGCTATTGCTATTTAACTATAACATCTTAGATGACCTTATGACCTCTGTCCAGATAATTCTATTGAGCCATAGCTTGTTGTTAAAACAAAGACAAAAACACTTCTCTGCCCCTCTGATTACTGGCCTAGGGCAAAAATGCTGGTTTTAATTCCTCCAAAAAGGTGAGGGTTTTTTTCACTTTTTTTTTTTTTTTTTAGAGTCTCAATCCCTGGCAGGGTCACACAGCTCACAGCAACCTCCAACTCCTAGGCTGGGACTACAGCACTCGCCACAACGCCTGGCTATTTTTTGGTTGCAGCCGTCCTTGTTTGGCAGGCCCAGGCTGGATTCAAACCCACCACCTTAGGTGTATGTGGCTGGCGCCTTAGCCACCTGAGCCATAGGCACTGCGCCAGCACTGGCAATTTTTGATGGTATCTACGGAGACTGAATAAAAATATTTTAAAAATTAAAAAAAGTAAAATATGGTTAAAATGTTCTAAGTAGGCTTGGCGCCTGTGGCTCAAGTGGCTAAGGCGCCAGCCACATACACCTAAGGTGGCGGGTTCGAATCCAGCCTGGGCCCACCAAACAACAATGATGGCTGCAACCAAAAAATGGCCAGGCGCTGTGGTGGGCGCCTGTGGTCCCAGCTACTTGGGAGGCTGAGTCAGGAGACTCACTTGAGCCCAGGAGTTGGAGGTTGCTGTGAGCGTGATGCCACGGCACTCTACCCAGGGGGGATAGCTTGAGGCTCCGTCTCAAAAAAAAAAAAAAAAAAATGTTCTAAGTAGGTTTTTTCCCTCAGATGTTGTCTCACTTTGTTGCTCAGGCTAGAGTGCAATGCATCATCATAGTTCACAGCAACCTCCAACTCCTGAGCCCAAGTGTTCCTCCTTCTCAGCTTCTCAAAATCCTGGGATAGCAAGTATAAGCCATCGTGCTCAGCCCTAGTTTTGAATTATAGTTATGTTAATGATATATAATGGGAAAAAAGTAAATTTATTCCATTATAATATATATATATATATTGGGACAGAGTCTGTCACCTTGGGTAGAGCGCCATGATGTCATAGTTACAGCAAGCTCAAACTCCTGGGCTCAAGTGATCCTTCTGCCTCAGTCTCCTGAGTAGCTGGGACTACAGGCATGTACCACCATGCCTGTCTAGTTTTTCTATTTTTAGTAGAGATGGAGTCTTACTCTTGCTTGGGCTGATCCTGAACTCCTGAGCTCAAGCATTCCAATCGCCTAGGCCTCCCAGAGTGCTAGGATTACAGATGTAAGCCACCTTGCCCCTTGGAAATGGTCAACTTAAATGCTTAAATGGTTATATTCAGAAAAAAAGAAAAAGAAAAAAATTATACTATAGTGACCCATACATTCTTTTTTGTTGTTTTTTTCAGAGATGGGGTTTTGCTCTGTGTCCCAGGCTAGAGTCCAATGGTACAAACAGTTCATTACAGCCTCAAATTCCTAGGCTTAAGCCATCTTCCTGCTCAGTCTTCTGAGAAGCTGGGGCTATAGGTATGAGCCCCTACCTCTTTCCTGTTAAGCCTTCGTGGGGCTTTATTCTATCATTTTGGATGTCAGGGGAAGTAAAAACAATTGCAGTGGCCTACCTTCACAAAACCCATTTTACTTCTCTGCATTAACTCCTTCTGAGTATATGAGCAGACATTCTGCTATTATTTGACATCTCTGAGCTCCTCTCTTCCCAGGATTCCGCCCAGGTCTCCTGGATCTCCATCACCACATCTGGGCACCAACAGGGAGATGATTTTGTGGATAACAAAAACTCAGACTCTAGATCACTACTGGATTTATAGGGAGCTGGGCCTGCAAAGCCCTGAAGATCTCAGGGGCCAGAGGGCCTGGAGTAGTGGCTGGTTATTTTCTGCCAGTGGAATTCACTGCTTTTTACCCACCCTCCTGGAGGGGTGCATTTGCTACCTTAGTTGTGGGCCATCGCAGGTCACCTTGCTATGAATGCCCTCGCCTGGTTGTGGCGTGGAGTTGACTGTGAATATCTCTGTTAACTTGGAGTGAAGGCTGCTCTTGAAAGCCGAAAAACTTTTCTTCTTTCTTTTCTTTTTTTAATTTTGTTATTTTTTCAAATTAATATGAGGATATAATTTTTAGGTCACATTGTTCTTCCGGGGTAAAGTTCCATTTGTAGAAGAGCGCCTCACCCAGGGGGCATGTTATAAACCCTCACAATGTGCACATCAGGGAGCTGCCGCCTCATGTCTTCTCTCCAAACGTCCTCCCTTTTCCCTCCTCCCACTTCCCTCTACCCACAATTGGACTGTATTAGTTTTATTGTTCTTATGAGCATGTAATTAATTATTCATATATTGATATTAGCATGTTTATATATTCATATTAGTATGAAGTACATTGAATATTTATTTTTCCATTGTGATACGTTACTAAGAAGAATGTATTTCAGCTCCATCCAGGTAATGTAAAAGATGTAAAGTCTCC